TTTTTTGATTGTATGAGAATTTCTTCTGCCAGCTGTAAGACGCATTTAGATTTGATCACAGTTTATTCAGTCCAGCCTCACACTCATTTAAGATTTTATTCACGTCTTATTTTTTTTGGAGAATTTGTTTAATAGAAACTAAATTAAGTTTCCTCACAGCCACGGAAAGAGCCAGCTCAAGGGAAACAGAATTTATGCTCTCTCCCGCCTGCTTGCTTAACCACTCATTCATTATGTGCTGGAGAGGCGAGATGACGAGGTGTCGAGGTTCAGGTGGATAAATATTTTCTTTTTCGCCTTTTTTTTTTCCCACGAGCCAAGTGTCTGCGGGAACTTCTCAATGATTGTTGACTTACAAGAATATTTGGTGTAGTTGTTGAGTTTGTGAACCCGAAATCTGGTGTCACAGAGAAAAACAGGCAAAGGGACAGAAGGACAGGAAGAAAAACAAGGGAGAGAGATTTAGAGACATACCAAAATATGCATGAGGCAAAGAAAAACACTAAACTTTCCGGTACACAAAGATGAATCCTGTGTTTTTCCATCTTTAGACTCGAACTGTGTTAACCAAAGAAGTTTTAGGCTGCGTACATTCAAAGTTTTGAAAAATAAATGAATGTAATCGGAGTGGCAACAAAATAAAGGGTGTTTGTGTGAATTTTTCCCGCCAAGGTGACCCTGAACCCCCAAAATAAAGAGGATCTGCAGCCCTTTTGTTCGAATCTTAATGATTCAAACAAAATGCTGTCTCTATCCAATCCTTTTTTTTCTGCTCAAAGGGTTCTCAGTGGTCTTTAAATTGTGGTTATGACATTTTCGCCACAATCGCGGTCCCTGTGTCATATTCAAGGACTTTTCTTCTGCAGAGCTCCAGTAGCTCATTAGCGATTTGCCTCTGAGTCGTGGGCGGAGACAGCGCTGCTCTGCGCACTTGTCGTCATGCTAGCTTGCTGCCTAGCATTGCTTGTGCAGCAGAAGTGGCAGGTAACATAGGAGCTATTCAGCTCTCGGACACTAATGTCTTTAGGGACACGATGAATGTAATTATTTTTAGCTTTCTTACGAGCATTACAATCTGCTAATGCGCATACTTGGTCCGTGATCATCCTCTCTATTTCTCCTCTATACGCAAAGTTTGGCCTGCATGGCGGGGCTCCGGGGGGGGGGCGGAGCTTGGATTATCTATGTGGGAAATCTCACTGTTTCTGAACCTGCCGTTTGGGTCTACCAGAGATTCACAGTGATTTGAATCCAGAAATACTCAGAAATGAAATTTCGCATTTAGTTCTCTCATGATATGTCCTGTAGAATCAGAAAAAATGCCATACGAACATTTAAAAAACAAGAAAAACATGATTTTCATCGGAGTGGGTCTTTAAGGGGATACCGATCTCCTTTTTTAGCAGGACCTGGCACCTGCCCACAGCGCCAAAACTAACAGAAACTGGTTTGCTGACCATGGTAACCCCATTGTGGATCTCTGAGGTTTCATCAAAAGAAACATGAGAGACACCGGAGCCAAGAATACAGGTGAGCTGAAGGAGTAATCAAAGTATTGCCATGACGCATCCATCCATACCATAATGCATTCTGATTTTTTGAGTTCCATTTGTACACACTTAGGATGTCTCAGGTGTAAAATATTGTGGACTTAAAGTATTCTTATTTTTAGCTCTAAAGATACCATCAAAGAGCCAGAGAGTCCTGAGAAGATCAAAAATCACTCTGAAGTTTCAGGCACGTTTTAGAAAAAGCTGCTCAAATGAGCCGTAAACAGACAATCTGAGGGGATTTTTAAAGGAAGAATCAAGTAACAATTAAAGTGAGGGAGAACAATGAGTATCAAAGCATAAAATATATTTTTTATTTAAAGCGAAAAACTGTAAAAATGAAGAATCCCTCAGTGCGGATCTGGTCACATAAGATCCTCTCACATGAAAACCACTTCAACCAGCTCCAATTACGAAAGTGAAACTGCAGCTGAAACTCACTTGTTTTTTTCACCAAGACTTTTTGAGACGTCTCTGCCAAGATTTTTATGACACATGAGCTTGTTCCCTTGTTATCCTCGGCGTAAACTTTAAAACTTTCCTTTCCTTTACATAAGGGTTTCGAACTTTTGGGGTCACGAAGTCCCCAGCAGGGAAAACAAATAGATAAAATAAACTCATGTGACATCAGGAAAACAGTCAAAGACAAAATGAGGCCAGGAGGAACCAGGCTGAGACGGACCAGCGTGGAGCAGTGTGCAGTTCGTTTTTTTGGACCCCAATGCAGAGGAAGGATTTAGCCGTCCATCTGCCAATTAGCCCGTCCACATGCCTCCAGGAAACACAACACCGATCCGAGTTTGCAGGAGGCGGCGGACCCCACAGGACCATCTCTCCTGAAATTCATTACTGCGATACGCAATCCGTCCCCCGAGGCTGAACCGACACTATTCCCCCGCACACACGCCGTCTCTGTTCCTGTATCACAATCTGTGAGACTCAAGGACAGCCAGCGGTCTTTTACACGCGGCCGATGAGCTCCTATTACACCGATGTCACACTAACACTTCTTATGCAGACCCCCGCCGTGTGCAGTGCCTACATGAGGACGGGCCTGGAGCAAACTCTGCAGCTCACGCTTGCTCCTCGTCACCTCGCTCTCTCTGTATCGTGGCCTCATTTGCTTCCTCCTCCTCCTCCTCCTCCTCCTCACTCCACTGATTTTATCTTTTCCCCTCTCTTTTCCCACACAGAATTCTCATTAAATGAAGTCAAAGTACAAACCAGTCTGAACAAAAAACTGGTTTAATTGTGGCCCAGATACACTTTGCAGTCGAGGAATCAACCTATAAGTACTCTAGAGGAGAAATGCTGTAATATGCATCCGTTCTCACGCCCTCGAAAGCAGCAGCTCTGGATCCGTATCACAAGATATCTCATCCTGAGCTGCAAAACTCAAACTAAGCAAGTGTTTTTGTCTTATTTCGAGTTTGTAGGTCATGTGGGGTTTTATACATTCTTTTTTTTAATATTCTCAACATGTAAATATAACCCCCTGTCCTGGCTACAGCTACTCCATCCCTGAGAAGCAGTGATGGATGAAAGCTGACACATGTCTGGTTGGTGGAGGCAAAGAACCTCGAGTCAAAAATAGTTCTGATGTCACATTTAGCAGAGTAAATATGTGTCAGACTCTAGACTGAAACAAAACGTGGACTTCTTGCACAGAATAAGATGCAAAATTTGCAGGTTAGCACAGATAAATACTTAAAGTAAGTCCAAAATCAAAGTTAGGATCTGATACAGTGAGTATCTTCTTGAGAGGGAGGAGCTAAATATCAGTGAGGCATAGATATGTATTCTAGTCCTGACCTGTGTGATATAATGATATGTATGCTAGTGCCAAATATCAGTGTTTGAATTACAAACTAGAGTGATCTAAACCGATCAACATGTAAATTTGAGTCACTGGTTCACTATGACTCTTGGTGATATCATAAAGTATCATACCACATGACACTGTATCCTACCATGTCAAATTTTATACCAAAGGAGCCACCATTGTTCAGTGTCATACATATCATAATGCAATGTAGATTGTCCTATCATATCGTAATGTACCATAGGGTCTTATACAGTACCATATCATAATTTAACATATCTCATTACCCGGTTTTCTTTCTGCTGATCACCCAGCTGAATTCTGATCAGTCTAAACCTCTTGGTAACCCTGCATAAGAAGACCAACACTAGAAACAAGAAGATCATGGAGGTAAATGTCAAATCAAAACGTGGAAAACAGTTCCAGCGAATTTTATTTAAAGCTCCTGTGAGAAACTTTTGGTTTGTGTCAGTTTTGGCGCCTCCTGTGGACTAAACAGTCTTTGCTTATCCTTATCCTCTACACGCTTCAGTACTGATTTATGGCAACGAATCCCATCCTGCTGATTTTTGACAGTCAAATATATTATTTATTGTGAATACACTTGGTGAAAATTGTAAAAACAGGACTGTGTACCCCCTCTCATGAGTTTTAGACAATAAAAGCAAGGATATTAAACTCCTCAGTCTTGTTGATCATATTTTTTTTGCTTTTGTTTATCACTAGAAGGCCCCGATTCTGGAACTCTTTACCAACTCACTTTTTTAATTTAATTTTGATTGGTATTATTTATTTCTTTATTTATTCCTTTGATGTTGAATGTTTTAATGTTGCCTTGTTGATTTTAACTGTTTTGATGATTGATGACTTTAATTGTTAATAGTGTTTTATTATTGTTATTTATGTTCCGTAAAGTGTCCTTGAGTGACGTGAAAGGCGCTTCAAATAAAATGTATTATTATTATTATTAACATGAATTTCAGTCAAAATCATAAACACTAGAAAACTCCTTATAGGAGCTTTAAAGTTGTTGACACCACAGGCAGAGATGTAAGCTTCCTGGATTCTCTCCTGCAATCCGAGGTGTGATCTCCAGTTGAAAATATAAGTTTAATAATAACTATATTTGTATGCTGACTTTTTACTTTAACAGTTAGCCAAAATCTCTACTCAAATAGTTTTTAATTTAACTTTTTGTGACTATATATCTATGACTTTGGGTAGCTAAGAAATCATAGATATTGAATCATATCTTATGGTATTGTATCTTACTCTACCATATCCTAATGCATCATGGCAACAGTGTACCTTATTGATTTATATTACTGATTTATATATGATCGTTTGAGTCACCAGTCACTATGACCCCCTTTTGTAATGTCATAAACAAAAAGAGGGGAAAAACTGAAATGACCCATAAAGATGCGCAACTCTTTACAAGTGAGCAGAGCCCTTGTGGCATAATGAGACAGGATAATTCATTGTGCACTGATTGGCTGCAGAGAGAAAAACAAACAGAAATCCATACCAAGAGATTTAGCAGTAAATCCACTCCTGCAGAGGAGAAAAAGTCTGTTTGTCTGCCATGAATAACTCGGACAGTGTTGTTTATTCCCTTATATTCACAGCGGCTCTCGCAGATTGGAGGCTCCGCCGCACTGATGCTCATGAAGATGTATGGGTGGTTGTCCCCGGGGATACACCTGCTCAGGCAGCACTATCTCTCTCAGGCAATGACTCTGAAACAGCTTTTTTCCCCCTCTGTCTGCGGCTGCATCTTAATCACTGTCACCGAAAACAGGCCAGCTGCTCACACGTTCTGATGGCTCTGCAAGAAAACAACGCGCATGGAGTGTATTCTGCATACTGTACCTTAATTTACGATGAGTCTGCAGAGAGCAGGATGTTAAATAAGACCTAGAGACAGGAGAGTAACCACGAGAGATTACTGATTACTTTTAACCCCCTAAAACACAAAATATCCTTATCTACATCCATCTCTAATCAGGTTAGAGGAACCATGCGCATTAGAGCTTATTTTCTAGCATCAAACTAAACCTAGGGTTGTTTTCAAAGTGTCGAAATATTTACAAAGTACAAATATGCGGTGCAAAAAGTCCACATCTTTTAGCTTCTCTCACCTCAAACAACGAATTTAAACCAAGAAGAAGAATCTGTTTACTGCTGTGTCTATTTCGAACCACCAGGAATAATATAAAAACAAGTCCATAAAAAGAAGAGAGCATGAATTTTTACAACATGTACTTTTTCACACACAGTCCAAACAGACTGCAGACACTTGGAGGACAGAGAGAGGCAACAGAGGCTCAGGTGGGGGGTTTCTATTAGTGAGTGCATGCAAATCTGCTGTAAATATTTAATAAGTTCTTGCATGGAAAGAGTGCCTCAGTAATCAGAGTGCTCTGTGGATGTGAGGGAGAAGGATTTTTTAGAGTCCACAGCGGAGTCTTTGATCACAGACACAGCTGAAAGGTGCTGACCCGCACGCTCTTAAGACTTTCCACTTCCTTTTTATGAGAAAGCGGCGCCCGGCAGGTTTCAGCGGGCAGCACCGGGGAACAGGCTCCGCATCAGTACAAGAAGAGCTGAATGCTCTGTGAGGCTGCAGCAGCTCGTTTAACTCCCCTCTGTGTTCTCTGTTGGGCTCTCGTGTTTCACACTGACCTCAGCTTCTTAAGGATACAGACAGCAAACACATGCATGCTGCCCCATGTTCACAGAGTGTGAAAACAGAAGTTCTGCCAGCTCTAATTTGGGTCTGTGAATCCAAAGTGTGTGTTTGGGAGACAGAGATACAGAGAGAGAGAGAGAGAGAGAGAGAGAGAGAGAGAGAGAGAGCACTGAGTTGTAAATAGTTTCTCTCCTCCCTCACCTGGTTGCAGAGTTCACAGTCTGAATCAGGATTTACAAGCAACAGTCTCAGGTGTTAAAAATTGAAGTCAGTGCTGAAGTGCGGAAAAAACTGCAGTTCCTCCAGTGTCCACTTGAGGCTGTCTTCAAAGTGAACAACTACTGTACCTCCATAAAGCAGTAATACGTGAGTTTTTATATCATCCAGTTATATAGAATGAAAGATTTTAGTAAACAAACAAAAACACTGAACATGTTTTCCCTGCATATTATTATTATTATTATTAATAACAATAATAATAATAATAATAACTATAGTAGTAATAATAATAATAAGAAGAAGAAGAAGAAGAAGAAGAAGAAGAAGAAGAAGAAGAAGAAGAAGAAGAAGAAGAAGAAGAAGAAGAAGAAGAAGAAGAAGAAGAAGAAGAAGAAGAAGAAGAAGAAGAAGAAGAAGAAGAAGAAGAAGAAGAAGAAGAAGAAGAAGAAGAAGAAGAAGAAGAAGAAGAAGAAGAAGAAGAAGAAGAAGAAGAAGAAGAAATAAATACATTTTGCCATAATCCATGCAGCCCTTGTGTGTAGTATTAAATGGTATTAACAAAACAAACCTGAAAGAAATACAATATAATATTCATCAGTAAAAACCTTTGGTAACACTTTACTTACGATACGTAAGTTACGATAAACACACTGACAGGATGCTGACGCGGCCCCATCATGATGCAGATTCAGGTTTGTCTGCAACATGAAAACAATCTCAGCACACTTGTTGTCTTACTTTCAATTTGACATAATCTAAAGAAATCAGGAGAAACCATAGACTGTATATACTATGGACAACTTGGTTCCACCTCCCACCTGTATATGGATTTGAAGCCAAAAAGCTCTCTGTAGTTCCGGGATTTTTCTTCATTTCCTGAAATCAGCGCTGCGCAGTAGCGATGCACGCATTCGGCTGCGCAGTCGCAGAGAGTCGCTGTGACGACGCTCGGCTCAAACAGCGTATCCCCCGGGAGAACTACGCAATCTTCATACGCCCATAGGCTGTATCAAGTGTCAATCATAGAAAACATGAACCCCCTAATAACTTTTAAAAATGGAGCTTCACAGAAAAAAGAGGACTTGAGCACAAACTAGTTTTACTGTAACTACATGTCAACATCACAAGCAGGGGGGAGAAAAATTTATGTTCTGTGTAATAAATTTCTAAAGTTTGTCCACAGCCCCATAAGCTTTGCTGGTGGAGTCGGGATTTATGACCTATACTGCAGCCCATCAACAGAGGGTGCTGTTCTTGGAGTGGCTTCACCCAGCGAGGAGGTAGATGCTGCCCATTCTAAATACAGTCTATGGGCTTTATAATGTGTTATGAATATTGCTGTAAATGCCACTGCATTTTGACAAGACACTGTAACACATATCTGTTGTTTTTTACGAGAACTAAGAACCTCAAACCCAGGAGACACATTTGTTGGTGCATTTGTTTGTTCCAGCCTCTTGTTCAACCCTTCAGTATGGGGACTTTGTAGTTTTTTGTAAAGTAAGAGTCTCTTTCATCAGTTTAAAACAAGAAACTGTGGAGAAAACTTTAAATCTTCCCCGAAAAGAAAACCAGGATGAAGAGCAACACCGGTGTTTTCTTCCTCAGACTGTTTGATCCCCACAGGGGACGGCGGCTCTGCTCTAATGTGCAACATTTACCTGCAGTAAACATGAGTGATATCGCCATTTTTCTGAGGCAGGTATGGAAACTGGACTGTGTAATGAGCAGGTACATCACCGTGAAAAATACAGTAAAATTAACATTATTCTGTCGTTTGTCTCACTCATGTCAAGGCTCCTCCGGCCTCTTCACTGAGGTAGAAAGCAGGCAGAAAATCTACAACCTGCAGGAGTAATTGAATCATTAGTTTGATCAATAATCCTATTACCACGCTCTCTCTGCTCCTTGATAACTCATACATCCTTACTGCTGGAGTGAACTGTAACAGAGCCAGTCTGTGCAGCCCTCCGACTGAGACGTGAGCGTGCCGAGCCGTGTGTCTGCAGAGATGGCTGCAGCAGGATCGATTCGGCTTAAAGACACAGTATCCAGGTGTCTGTTCTCGCACAGCCGGGGAGGGAGGAGTTCTGCAGGGAGCACGGTTTTAATGAGGCCCTAAATCACGGAGACACCTCCGACGTCACAGGAAACACCCACGACACACACTGCTGCAAGTCTGACCTGCGTGTAGCTGAGCCGCACACGCCAGAGACCAGGAGAGGAGATGAGCCGAGGAGCTCCCTCTGCACACAAAAACAACACATCCAGTACTCACCAAAACTACAACCTGGAGTCAGATTCCTGTCATTATTTATCTGTTTGGGTTAATGTCAGCCTTAAAGTTCAAAACTCAGTCCTCATTGCTCCCTGTATGCTGGAATTGGCTGGTCTGCATTGTCCCTCGATAGACTCAATCACTGCATGTCCTCATTTATAAGCCAGTTCTTAGCTAGCCTCTTTTTTGTTCATCCGAGAAACACTCAAAGCTGCTATCTCCACTCTGTGACCCAATCACGAGGCTCCTTTTTGCTATCTGTTCCCAGAGTGCGTCTTCAGATAAAGAGAATGAAAGGGCTTCAGGTGTTTCGCTTCTCTGTCGGGGAATCTGCTGCTGGAGGAGGATGTTTTTTGGGTCTGAAGAAGCTGATGTCTTTGAATCCCTACAGAAGCAGATTGAAGGTGTTGGAAGAAGTAGAAGCAATTTATAGGGGCTCGCTCTGATACAACCAACAGTATGTTTTAACTGTTTGTTGTTGGCTGTGTCTCAGGCTAGAGCCAAATAATCCTCAGAGGGGCAAATTCAATGACCGACTGGACAGCAGTGTATCCACCTTGTGTCCACCATTTGTGTTGTTGCTGTGTATTCATCAGCAGTTCACTTTCTAATGTACTTAGACTGTATTAAATGAACCCAGCAGGAACCCGCAGAGTGTGTTTAAAGCGCTGCAGGTGATGTCAGTCACTGGAGCTCAAGCAAAAGGCAACAGGTTTCCTGAAAAGACCAATGAACAAACTCCTGCATGCAGATATTGCTCATTGGAGTTGTAAACTGTCCCAATCCAAGGACTGGGTCAGTGTAACCTCTGTAGACCCGTCAGGCTGAACTGAAGTAGGACAGTCTCTCCCCTTCAGAGGATCGTGTGCTCACATCACTGCCCTGACAATGGCATCACTTGTGCAGCTCTTATCGCTTTGCAACAGGTGGCTAAGCAGCTAACGTAGCGAGTGTAATGAAAGTTGAACACCATCAGCAACATTTCAAATTTCACGGCATCTGTCTTTCATTATATTTGCACAGCTTGCTACTGAGTTAAAATCAAATACTATTATTGACAGTAGATTACTCTGAAGTTTGAGAGTATGCTATCCGTGTGTTGTGTTAGCATGCAAAAAATCATGAGATAAATGGGGCTACAAAAGATGCACCCCCATCACACATTTGTTGTCGTCCACATTTGGAGGAGTCTTTGAAATGGGACAACCTTTAGGTCCTTACACACTGGGAGCAAAACTCGCAAGGCGAATAATTTGCTTTTTTTTTTAAACCTACTGAAGTCAACGCAGCCTTACACACCGGCAGCAAAAATTCATGAAGCGAAAAAGTGTCTAATTTATTCGCTCTTAAGTCGAATTTTGCGTAGGCAAAAAGGCGAACGGCCAGACCTCTGACCAATCAAAATCCTGTTGGTATGTCGATTACATCACATCCAAACTTTAATGGCAGCATCAGCCCTAGTCTCTATTCATTCATCATGACTGAGCACTTTATCACTAGGAGCACCTGACTTTATTGGACAAGTCCCTAAAAATATTCCATGACACTCTCCTCAAAGAAAATATATGGCAGGAAAAAGAAGAAGGCCTTAATTTATTGATGTTATATCAATCCTAAAACATAGATGTGTAACGTAGCTAGCATAACATGAAGCTAAGCTAGCAAACTAACCAGCTCTTTTTCAAACTTTTTCAGTCCAGTAAACGTTTGTATATGGTTTTATAGATATATATTATAGAAGCGCCAAACTTTATTCGCTAAGCAGGTTTTATTCACATAATCCCGTCCCGCCTAGTGTGTACAGAAAAAAAATGATCTGTGAAATATTCGCCTTCTCCTGTCGCTTCGCCTATTGCCCAGTGTGTAAGGACCTTTAGACTCAGCGCTGCCTTCGAAGGCTGCAGTTCCTTATTGGACTTAAGTGTTCAAGCGTCATATTGCAATTATGCCACCGTTTCAGATGCATTTTGCAGAGACTTTAATCGACAAATTACTGTATATGTATTAAAATCAGCCTGCCAAAGTGGCTAGTGGGAGTGCCACTACATTTTAAATCTACCTGCAATTGGCAATTGAAGGAAAAGAGTTAAGAGGGAGTAGTACAACTACTAGCAGAACTAACACAATTAACAGACTTACCTGATTTACCTTTTTAGGATTACTCTACAGACAGAACAGCTTGTTTCCTGCTGCTGCTGGCTGAGGTGATTTACTGGAGCAAATCCAAAACACAGACTGCTTTTTCAGACACTAAAACTAAGCCAAGGTCAAATCTATCATTACTACCCCTTAGATCTTGCATGAATAATAACATGAAGTTAGTTTATTTCAAACCAGCTGCATTTTGGAGCAATCCTGCAGTCTGAGTGGTGGTTTTGCAGAGGGTGGAGGTGTATTGGGACCCTGGGACTGCACGGCCCACTGATCATGAAACATCCATGTCATTGCACTCGTGAACACAATCAAAACAGTGTGACGCTCCACCGTGAAGACTTTTTGATGCATGCAGAGGTAGACATAATGGATTGGTGTCACAGGATGGGTTCTGAGAGCTCTGGGACTAATCTCATTGGATCCTGCTACTCTTGTGTCTGAGAGCTGTCAGGTGATCGGGGAGTCGGCACAACGGCTTTTTGGCAGAAGACAGACACACAACAACATCACAAAGCAGCCCGACGAGTCCTGATGGGTTTCTGGCTGTCGACCAAAACAACAAATTTAATAACACTGTCACAGATCCAAATGTTTCCTCTCAGACTACAAATGATACCTTTATACCCATCTGTGTCTGAAAAGGTGTAAACAAGGCCCTGTGAGCTACCAATGACTCCACACTGAGAAGAGATGAACTGGTGCAAAGCTACCAGAGGGTCTGGTTTGGGTGCATAAAGCTTCTTAGGGAAAGGAGTGTGCTGTACATGTTAAAGTATAGAATAAACCAAAGATATATACACAACCAAGCCAATAAATCTTTACCTTTTTTAAACAGCAGAAGACACCATCTTCCTTTGACTTCATTTTTTTGCATCCTTAATGGCCCAACAAAGCTAGAAATTAGCAATGCACCATTCAAACTAGGCAGAGGACTCTTGAATTAGCCCAGTAATTCTCCATTAAAAGTATGATATTGCTCTCAGGGGTGTGAGTGTGTGTCTTCTGCCTGTAGCTCAACAAAGGCATGCAGACATTACGGCGGAGCGTATTACATTCCTTAATTTGTCATTTTTATGCTCCATGGAAAAATGTAATTGTGTTTTGCACGTCAACCACTCAGAAAATGAGTGCGAAACAAGTGGTAAAAACTATTAAGTATATGATAAGGTAAAAATGAAGAGCGCTAATAAACACGCAAAATGAATACTGGAATAGATTAAAATAGGAAGTTGTGGTTTCACTTTAAAATAACTTCATTATAATAAGTTTTTATCCATGTAAATTCAACATTTGGTATCTGTAAAGTTGGACTTTGTGGCTCTTTATCTCTCTAGTCCTGGGGCTTGTGCTGCAAGTAGGGTCATCACACCTATTCTGCAGTTAATGAGGAAAAAGAGACAGAAATAGAAAAAGAGAGAACCTTAAAGGGATATTCTGGCGTAAAATTTATTTAAGATAAAACACACAGTAACACAGAGTTAGACACTCACTGGAGAGATGAATGTTGCCGACCGCTTGCTTCTCTAGTTATACCAACTTTAGTAACGACCGCACAATAGCAATACACCGCGGTCTGAGGAGCCATAAACAGACATCAACCAAAATGCCGCTTTATAGGCACAAATAATGCTTAGAACAGCACCTAACTTCATCAACAGTACATATAGGGTCCTATCCACAGTACTAGCCACCAAACATGTTTTTAACTTTGACTCATTTCTTTAGCAAAGAGACTAAACACAACTCACCTACTCTCATCCAGCAGCTGCTTGTTTGTAGCGAGACCTCAGGCCAGTCCATTACAGACTACAGCGGGGTGATGCAGCGCAAGGAAGAACATTTACGGTGTGTTTGACCCTAAATTAATTTTACACTGGAATATCCCTTTAAAATGGCATTTCTCTTCATAGGAGAACCGCGAATCCCTTTTTTTAAATTAGGAATTATCCTTCCAGCTGTTTTAAATCACTCCTGTAATTTTGCCAATGACAGGAAGGACCTTTTGTGAAGAATTAAAGATCATGCTTATCCATATTGTAGTTTAACCGCAGTAAACTACTTAATGAATAACTGTGCTTCACATCCTCCAAATACTTCTAGCCAAGTGGTCATACAGAAATCTGGAAATTTGACAAAGATGCTACAGGAATCAAACTGTGAAAGCTGCTGTTTCACAGGTTTGCAGTACCAAATACTCTGCCTGTCAGGCGAGTATGAGAATTAGATTTTCTTTTCATCTTTCACGCTCAAACATGGACACCACCCCGTCACCACAAACCGCCAAGCAGCTGCTTTAAGTTCTGCCGGCTGAAGATGTGCTGACGTGACCTCAATCCGCTGCCTCGCTAGCTGCCTACTTAGGTCACGGTCGTCTGGGCCTGTAAGAGCTTCTCCTTCATCAGGTCGGACTAAAGCCTCACACACACTGCCCATCACCGGCGTGGATTAGAGGCCGAGCTGCACACACACGTCTGAAGCTGTCTGCTTCACTGAGTCATGAGAGGCTGCAGCCGCTCTCCACAAACTCTAAACATCACCTGAAAACACTGCAAGACCAGAGTTTTCTGTATCTCCTTCAAACATAAGCTCACAAATCCAGCTTTCTGCAGAGCATTAGCACATCAGGGGGCTCTTTGAAATCCTCTGCCAACATACATGGACGTGTTAACAGAATTAAGAGCAAAAATCCCCTGTTTAATTCTCAAGTTTTGCATGCAACATGAGACCCAAACATCATCCACAGCTCTGATGATCCACTCAGTTTTGGACTAAATCTCCTCTTCCATGCTGTGCTCATGAAGAGGATACAGAGGAAGAGTCTGAACTGAAATCATTTCTACTCACCTGTTAGTCGCTGAGATGTGGTGACAGGGATTCAGCTCTAAGATGAAGTTTAAGTCCATTTCTGCAAAAAAAACAGAACATCAACATTAGATCAGGAATTTTCTAATTCAAAGTGATGCATTTAGTGAGGAAAACGTGGTCCTACATGAGAAGAATATTTGATTTAACCATTTCACACAAACAGCTGGAGAGGGAATAGCGTGGTCACACATGGAAATGTAATATATGACACGCATGTCCATCAGGGGGATGTTACCATATGTTACAGATGGTATACATACATATGGTGTTATGTTTTGATCATGCATTTTAATAACACAGTATATGTTTAATTTACAAATGCAGGTGTATTAAAAATAGTTTAAATGTAAAACAAACATATATTCAAATTCAGATGACTTTATTAATCCCCAAAGGGCAATTCACTTCACAGTAACCTCCCTTGTTGTTAAACGATCAGGAACAGACAGACATTCACAGCAGTATATGGCCCAAACATTCCCCTGTCAACGCTAAAAATCAGCAATAAATAAAGAACAAGGTAATAATAAATACATGTGCAATACGTTCACAGTGGAATGACTAAAATGCAATAAAAAATAATGCGATAAAAAGAGTAAAATAAGAACTAAAACAATCCTGAGACTCCAATTTCAGCACCCCCAAATCCAACACAGGCCTCCAATCAGCTACTTCTCAGCGTTTAGCAACGTGATCGCTAAGGGGCTAAAAGAGTTAGAGTATCTATTTGTTCTTCTAGGGGGGGCATAGTAGCGCCTTCCAGACGGCATAAGAGAAAAGTCTGAGAAAAGGTTGTGTCCAGGCTGGTCCATGATTCCTTTGGCTTTCTGGACCACTTGTTTCTCCCAAAGAAAGCTTAAGTCCTCCAGCTGTACTCGGGTGATTTTGAAGCAGATTTTTACGATCTGGTTCAGGCTGTATATGTGCATGGAACTGCTCTAATTTTTAAAGGGTTTCAAATAAAGTCTGTCCATAAATGTACATATTAAAAAATGACAACTTTTTGTCACCAGTGGTGCAAACCAGATCATTAGCAACAACACTGACAGCTTCTACATTGTAATTTTTGACGTCTAGGACAGCTGCAGGGGGACAGGTGTCAGAGAAGGTGATAGACAGCATAGGGTTTTACCGCAGAGGCTTTATTGAACTTTTTCCTTTGCAAATGCTGACAGTGAGGGATATATTTGAGTGTTAAGGGACAGCAAGTTAAGATTGAACGCTGGGAAATTCATCTCACAGACGTACAGGACAAGGTCAGGTAAAAAGGGTAAAAAGTACTACTTTATCCACAGTCTGAACAGAAGTCAGAGCCTTTTTTAAACTTCCACTGTGAGTCAGTCATCCAATCATCTATCCTAATTTCAATTTGAGACATAGACTATACGCTGAGGTTGTTTTAATGCAAAGCAACACATGGTCCTGCAGCGGTATTTAGATGTGGAATAACCTTCTGTCAGCCATTATGAAGTCAACTGGAAAAAAAACAATTTTAAAAAGTCTTCTAATAAATATTTAATGTCACAAATGTTTTATTTTTCTATATTATTTGTTGCATTTTATAAATATGTGACCACAATGAAGAGGCTCGTGATCATTTTTATCATTATCATTATTTTTCCTTTTGTTTTATTTACTTGATTTATCACCATTTTCACTATTAACTCTTAGACTCGTAGTTATTTCACAAGTTACAAAGGTCTTCTTCATTTTGAATTTGTCTTCTGTATTCACGTATTCACTACTAAACTTGTAACTGACTATTAATGATGTGATTGGTGTGATTTGTAACTCACACAGCTGTCATGGCTTTCACTTCTTAGCCTGGTGGTCATTGGCTCGCTAACATTTGCGGACACACACACACACACACACACACACACACACACACACACTAGTTTGTACTGCCGTTACACAACATGCTGACGATGCTGGGGTCTGACTTTCAGCTAACTAGAGTTACAATTTCATGATCTGAGCTACTTATGACGAAAAACTGAGACATGAATTTGTGCATTATTTGTTAACCCTGTAAGCTCCGAACTACTGCTGAATATAACAAACTGAACTTTAAACACATCTGAACACTTCCCTTTTGTTTCCCAGCACTGTTTTCGCAAATGTGCCAGAGGGCAAACTCTTTGTGTTGTACTAAATAAAATACGCACGACCACAAAGCACAACACTACAGCCGCTTTTCTCTTCAAACTGGTGGATATTAAAATGTAGGAGGTCTGAGAGTGACAGCCGATCCTGGTTCTGCTTTAAAATGTCACACTGTCTGTTCTGCTTCGCTCCCTGTCGGCTCCTGTTTATATTTAGGTCTGAAGCTGTGAAATGAATAAACATCAGGTTGATCCTCGCCGCTGCACGCCGACAGGGCCGTCCCTGCTCACTCAGGTAGGTTGACACTGCTGCCACGGCGATGACATCTCTACTACGCCTGTCAACCTCTAAAGCTGCTTCAGGATCGTCTGTGGTCGGCTCAGGCTTGTTTATGCGAGGACATGACAGTAAACATCTCAAAAGGATGTTTATGACAGCGGGAGGAAACACGGAGTACAACTCTGAGCTCTGGCTGGTCGGTTTCTGCTCAAATAAATGTCTGTTAATCCTGTAAATACAGCCGTCAGCATAACTCAGTTTGCTTGTATTTAAATGAAGAACATAAAAGTTGTAGAATAAGCAGCGAAACTTCCTTTAAGTTGAGAGTGTGAAGATTGAGGGTTTAGTATTTCAAGATTTAAGAAAGTGCCTACAGTAAGTAACAGACAGCTACAGACACAGTATGATACTCTTCTGATATGACCTGTCCTGATGTGACTGCTGCTTATTACCTAAAAAGATAGATGACATTTGGAGCCCCCCCTGCTGGCTGGCTGTAGTAAAGGTCTTAAAGCCTTTCTCTATGTTAACAGATGGGACATGGTCATACTTTAAAATCAAAATACACATCAAAACAGGACAGGGCATTTATGACGGTGATTAATGATCATGATAAATTTCAGTTTGATCACCGTGATCAGCTGTGAGCATATTTACTTGATTAAACATAGCGGAAATGTACGTAACAACAGCCAATCAGAGTGAAGCTTTTCCTGCATGCTCACTACAGTAAGTTACCAGAGAAGTAAACAGAATGACTGAATGTGGAGCTAAACACGGAGCTGAGGCAGCAAAATAGATGTCAGCCATGACTTTGAGTCATCCTCCGAAGACGCCATTATTGAGAAGAAAAGTTATTCAACGTCGGTTGTGTGGCGGTGCCAGTGGTTCAGGTATCTCCAAAGTCAAGTTGAGCAATTACACCGATGTGCAAGGTATGTCGGCAGTTGGTGCCCTTAAAAGCCAGCAACACAACAGATCTGTTTAATCATTTTTAAGAAGTACTTCTCGAGTGATTATGTAGAAAGCATGAAAATGCGAGCGGAGTCTACACAGACCGCCACTGCTGACAGCACGAGGAACATTAGCAGTTGAGCCAACACTAGCGGTGCAGCCACCAGACAAATGCAGTAATCAATCATATCATCTTCGCTTACATCATCTAATGTTTACATTTTAAGGCATCGTCATTTTCCTTGAGGGGCGATTTGTTTATTTTGGGTCTTGCATACCTGCACTGTAAACTAGTTCACAGTATTATTTAGTATTTATCTTCATTTGTTGAACTGTTAAGTCAAAATGTTTTTTAACATTTTTCTAAGTTAATCTTATTCAATTTGCTTTGATATCTACTTCGTATGATAAAAAAGTGTTGGACTTTTTTAGTACAAATGCTTTAAAAATGTCAGTTTTAAAATATACAAAAAAATCATAATAATCGAGATCAGACGATATGACAAAAGATATCGTGATCATTTTTTTTGCCAAATTGCCCAGTCTTACATCAAATACATGGTTTCTGTCAATATGGTTAATTCTCATCATGCTGATTTATGTCCAAATGTTCAGTACCCGAAGAAAATAAGTTTTAAGGTGTTATTAGATGCTCTGTAAAGGGGGCGTAACATCATGATTGACAGCTGTGCAGGCAAATAAGGCTCCTGCTGCACCGCATGTTCTGGATTATCTGAGCAGAGTTCCGCTCGATGGAGTACTCAATTACTAAAATATATGAATACTGCAGCCCTGACAGAGAGGGTGAACATGTAGACAGAGGAAAGGATTGTCATCTTCAACAACAACTCTGCCGTGATGATGTGTCAGTGAGGCCATGACGGACTAAAAAGAGGATATGTTGGAGGGACCTTGTGAGTTACTGCGGTTAGCTTTCACAGGTGTCCAGCCCCTCTTCCTCCTAAAATCATCAGCAACTGCTCATGTACTGTTGTGTAGTCTGTCTCGCTACAGCACAACTTAATGATTTTGTGATGATCTAATCTGGCACAGTAAACAGAGAGATCATGGAGCGTGACCTTAGCAGGAGGCTAGCTGCAGTCCCTGAACACAGACTGGTCTGTGAGTTGTTTTTTGCTCAGGAACTCTCATGTTATGCAGCAGAGTTTTATCTTCCTGTGTATAAATGAATTCTTATAAACCTGTTTCAATGCATTTATACACATCCT